GATCCTGTCCTTGAGCTTGCCGTTCTCGGTTTGGAGTAGTGCCTCCTTTAACCGGTGCTCACTCTTGTTATTCTGGATCTGCGATTCAAAGGCTTTCTTGTGCTCGTACATATTGTTTCTGAGCACATTGTAGACCTTGGCGATTTCAGTGGTGACCGTGAGCTTCATTGTGACGATTACCCATTCGCATATGTGCTCCGGGACTTCTCCTGGAGCGGACTGTCTGAGAGCATCTTCTAGGTGCTCGAATTGGTGTCCCTCAAACTCCCAGATGGGTGGGACATAAGCTGGTACAAGTGATGGTGTCGGGGATGCTGGTCCTCCGACTTGTGATGCAGAATCCTGCGGTCCTAGTGCAGGTTCGGGTGAATTGCGCTGCGAGGCGCGTGGGGTACTTCCGTCGTGTGCTGACTCGACGTTTGTATGAAGAATGTCATCCATTCGTTGCCTGAACGTGGATGCGTGCGCACGATCGGCTGACTCCATTGTGATATAGGTAAACTAATACAAAAAGTGCAAATATCTCGCTTTCGAGATGAAGACCAGAGCCTTGGCGATTTCCTGCAGCCTTTCTTCCTTTCCTATCTGCTTGAAACTGATTCCTCCTATCTCCAGACAGACTTTGTTGATAACCTGCTTCTCGACGAACGTATATGTGCGCGTCCCTGTGTGTAGGTCGGCGCAGACTTTATCGAGCTCTGTGGCGAGGCTAAAGATGGGTCCTTGGTGCTCGTCCTTGAGACGATATGAGAATGCTCCTAATATGGGTTGGAGCCTGAAGCGGGTAGCGTCCACCTGCTTCATAAGGGTCTCGATGTGGATCGTCGGCCTGACTCTGGAAGGGAGTGGGCGGATGGGACGTGCGATGGTGTTTGTCTTTATGAAGTTGGGTAGGGGACGAGTTGGAATGGGAGCAATGACAGGGGGAGGAACTGCGTTGGAGGTGATAAGCTCTGGGGGTGGTGCCGGCTTGCGACCACCAGTGGTAAGACGTCCCTTTCTGGGCTTGTAGCGTTCGAGCGGTGGGGTGTGATCGCGTGGCTTGCAGATGATTCCGCGCTTTATGATGTGTGTGGTATCTACAACCCTAGCTGCTGCTCGCTGCCTGTCTGTGGACGATGCACCTAGCGACGCAAGTGTGAGGAGCCTTCCACGCTCCTTGTTGGTTTCCTGACGCTTGTAGTGGGCGTCGAGGTCGATCCTAGGGGTGGCCTTGCGCTTTGAGGCTTTGGGCAGCTCAGAGTCTTGCTGAGGCTCACGCCGGGTAGAGATCGGATTGGAATGTGTGTCAAAAAAGCCGCACGCTACGGCTGAAACTGCTTGCGCTGAAAATACGCGGCCACTTGTGTTAGACACTAAGCAGGGGCGCAGAAAATGTCAGATTGTTTCTAATGTCACGGTAACACCGGACAAGAGATCAAAAAGACTAAAAAGGGACAGTCACGTGGAACGTGCCACCCTGATCCCCCTGATCCCAAAGGTATCCCCCTGAACCCTATGTGGCGCAAGAGCCTGTTGACTTACTGGTCAATGTTGGCTGACGCAGGAAAGGGTGAGAGATATATGATGGAGCTGGTGAGCTCAGTGGGTGCTACAGGTAGTAGACGAGGAGAAACAATCTGAGGTTTCGTCCCCTACATGGCTGGTCTTATATACACGTACAGCGGGCTATCTTACCTAAGCTACCTATCTACGGGTATAAGCAAATGGCCGTACATGAAACAATAGGATGTCCGGAAGTAGAACAATAAGTGGGAAGATTGATGGTTGCTGCAGTAATGCGTGTGCACATCACATCGTGCCTATCTTGGTTTCCCTTTTGTTCTCCGGTGTGAACATCGTACCTATCTAGGCTTCTGGCTAAACTAATAGGAAGCGGAAGGCCGATGTATAACAATAGTCCTTGTTCCCTTTGTTCCCAAATGGGTGCCTCTATTGTATCCTGGAATAGACAGGTCCGACCGTATCATCCACGGGTCTGGACCATAACATGTGATGTGGACTATCACCTGATCTCTACGCGTCACGTCTGTGGCTGAGTGGCGTGAGATATTGGTGAAGCACGTGATCTGTGGTGTGAGAAAAGTCATGTGCGGACTTTGTGGCGAAAATCTGTGACAATTTGAGCCTTGAGAGGATCTCGGCCAAATCTTCTTCTTCTGACTCGGATGCTTCTTCTGAGTGGATGCTGCAGTCGCTGATGTGTGCAGCTGTCTCCCTACTCTTCCCCTTAGTCTTAGAGGAAGAGCTCTTTTTCTTGGGCTTCTTTGGGACATCAGAATCGATTTCCATTTCACTATCGGATGAAGCGGAATCCGATGCTACTTGTCGCATCTTGGACGACCTTGACTTCTTCTTGTCGTCGTTCTTTTTCATGGCTGCCCCTTTCTCCTTCTCGATCACTCTCTTGACATGGTCCAATTTGAAACAATCGGTGCAGTATTTGCCAAAGCATTTTGGCGATTTGAAGAACATTGGTTTGTTCTTCTTGCTGTTGACACAAACCAACTTGTTATCCTGCACACTTCACGCTTTGCCTGATTTACTCTTTCCCTTCTTCCCCATTGTGTTAACCTCCATTGCATTCAGATCCTTGGTTTTGACCTTGGCATGGTGGCCTTCTCGTTGTAGTGACATAAATATCCAGAGTGCAAATGTAAGGAACTTGGTCCATTTCTTGGGTCATTTGTCCTTAGTCATCTGCCAGCATGAGCAGCCACGTTTTCTCTGGGATATGCTTCTTGATTTTTTCTATCAAGTCCTGATCTGACAAGCTGGTACCTGTTGCCTTGGGACAAAAATCTTCTGTGAACTTTCAGAAGTCTCGATGTTCCTTCTTGACAAAAATTTCTAAATCCGTTCACTTCTTTTTGTCTTTATCTATTGATTCGTAGGCCGTGCAGAGCTCAGTGATGAACTCCACCCAAGTTCCTGGTGCCTTGTTATTTTCATTTATTTCAGTGATCCAATGTTGCATGGATTTGTGTGCTCCTCCCTTCAGGAGCAAGAGGGTGGACATAATTTTGGACTCGTCTTTAGTATGTCTGGTATATTTCAACCAGAGCATGACTTGTTCCAGCCAATCATCGAGATTGACTCCATCCTTGTTGCTGCCATATTTCTCTGGCTGGTCAATCTTTACGCCCTTACCCTTGCGACCAAATGACGGCTCTTCATTGTCATCATCCGTGTCTGCGACATTGTCACCACCCTGCCTGGCCTTCCTTCCCTGTGATGCTGCCCATGTACATAATCGTTCATGTCATTTTTTGAGTGCATCAACCGTCATGCGAATTTCCACATCATGTTCGTCCAAGGTGGTTACCTGGGCTTCGATATTTTGGCGGTAGTCCTCAACAAGCTCTTTCATTTCTGCTGTAAGAGCTGCAACCATTTTCTCCAAGTCAGTTACTTGGGTGATAAGTTGCTGTCGATGATTGTCGAGGAATACCGTGTGATTGTGGAATTTCATGGTATTTTGTTGAGCAATACTCACTTGCTGCTGGATGAGATGCTCATAACGTGCTACCATTTGTTGACACATTTGTTCTACCATGTTGGTGACTAAGTTGACTACCCAATTCTTAACGTTTTTGGGTATATTCGCATCGGGGGGTGCCGTGTCTGCGAGAGCTTGAGGAATAATTCAGTTTGGAGATTGTAATATAATATTGAGACATGCAGGAAGCTCCGGAGATGGAGCATGAGAGAAACTGGGATCATGTGCAGTGGGGATCGTCATCTTTTCCTAAAATTCTTCCTCTATCTTCCGTAGATGTTCTTCAAATTCAACAAGGTGACGATTTGCGATCGTGGCTGCTTGAATGATTTGCCGGTTTGCCCGACTGTGATGAAGCAACCAAATATCATTGAATATAACCTTGACAAAAGGTTGCCACAGGAACCTAGTTTTGTCCCTGACTGCTGACCACTGATGATTATGATGAATTTTGCAAAGACGCTCGACTTCTTCGAGCCAATCGACGAAGCTATTATAAGCTTCTACAAGACTCAGGTCCAGTTCTTCAGTTCCAGTTGGGATATAGCAGATATGAACCACAATATTTCTCCAGTCATATTCAGGATAGATTTGGAGAGCAGATAGGTGGTACACGTCGTGATAGTCGATGTGAAACGTGTCCTCGTATGTAGCGAACACTTCGCCTGCCCTCTCCTGAAGACCACGGGGTATGGAATATTAAAGAAAATTGAATGTGTGATTGATCGGACTGAGATGCTCGAAGTTTTCAAGATTGTTTGAATCACCAGATGAAGACATATACAAAATATTCGTGACTACAGCAAAGGTCACCCTGTGACCTGTATTCCTAGACGATATTTCGTGATAATATCTTGTATGATATTGTGAGCTGCTCCTCCCTGATGCTTCCTTTCTTGAATGTAGTTGCAAAAATTGTGCACTACGTGTTGGTGTACGAATGGAAGCTTGAATTCTGCGATGTCATTGCGGAGGTCCTTGAGCTTGGCTATAAGATGCTCGATGACAAGGATGTCATGGTCATCAAGCTGATGATAATATCGCTTGATAAGGAATAGGTGAATTTGTCAAAGGGTGCCTTCAACACGCTGAGTGGATACGATGGAGATAGCGAGAGAATAGATATAGTGAGACTCTGTGGGAGTCTCAGCATAGGTAGCTTGAAGCTGGTTCACTGACAGCGGTGCCCAGTCATGAGGTGGGATGCCTGGATAGTGCTGGGGACCTAGCAAAAATGACGATGCTGTGGGGGTCACAGCGTGCGAACCGAAGGAGATGATATAGTAGAAACAGAGGTGCTGTTGCGAGGTCATCGACCTCCCATCGAGATGTGACCTGGTCTTGGCTGAACTCTTGGAAGTTGCAGCTCGTAGGACTCTTCTGGAGTTCTCACTCGAGGGCATCAGATAATGCCAAGGTCACTGCACGTAGTATTGACGTGGCTTATGTGGGTAGAGTTGGCATCTGCCAGAGTGGCAGGTGAAGATATAACACCACTAATGTGCAGGTGGACATGCAAAGATGCAACACTGCATTGGGTGCACTGGGCCAGCGCTCGAGGCAGGTAAGGTCAGACTTATTCTTCTATCACAAACTTAGGATGCAGAGCACCGACTAAGCCTATGACCTTATGATCAAACACTTACTACTAGTTTGTCGAAGTGTGGATGGGCACAAAGATCATCAAGGTAAAGCAGTGCCTTGCAAGTGGGCACTGGTAACACTGTGTGTATAGGCATAGCAGAGATGAGAATAAGTTTGGAGGACTTATGCATCTCAGACCTCTAGTTTATATATATGAGCGGAGGGATCCCTGGTTCTCTAGTACCTCAGAACTGCTAGCTAATAGATGCTGTCTGATTGGCTATCACTGCTTGTCAGACTACGTGTGTCATATGCTGGATATCTGAACTACTTAGTAAGACCATGGGAATGATATTGCCTGTAATGGCTACATTGCCGGTGGCGTGGCATCTATCTATTCTAGTGTGTGAACTACTATCTCCTTATAGACCTATCTCCAGTGGCGTGTGTATGCCTTGTAGGATTCCTCCAAAGTCTGACCATTGCTTCTAGGGTAGATGATATTACTGTATAAGTTAAGCTTACCTAATACCTGTGCCACTTGTCACATGTATGAATATCATGTGATATGTCATGTGACTAGATCTTGACCTCCGGGGCGCCTAGGACTGTCAGTACTTCGCGTACCAGTTTGTTCCTTTCTGGACAGCCTAGCGCTGATGTCATGTGATGTCTTGGTCACGTGCAAAGTGAAAGCATGAAAATCTGTGATAAAAGCCCTTAAATAGAATGTGTCACAAAATGTGCTGATCATATATAATCTTACACAATGGATCGTATCTCGATCATAGTTCCCAAGGGAACCATTGAGTCCTCCAATAGATTGTATCAGCATGTGACTTATCGAGATCAACCAGAGATCAATTGACTAGTCACCTATATTGCAACCTATAATAGTCATTGAGATAGATCTCATAGTGTCTATAAGACTAAACCATCAAACCTAAAGCTAGTCTCATCAGAGACCTGTTAAAGGATCAGGTTATGGCAGTCTACGCTATCAATATCCTGAAGATACGATGGAACGGCTCCTCAATAGACTTAGCATATGCGACAACCTGGTCCCTGAATAGGATCCTCAATAAGGTTGTGTTATTAAGTCTGGGCCATTCCAGAGCTATATCAAGATAGAACATCTGAATCATTCACATGCATCACTCGACGTACACATCACATACACCTATGATGTCAGGAGTCCAGAATGTCTAAAGCACACATCACGTGCAGCTCAGATCCATGGATCAGGCCTTTAGCCTGACTCGAGTCATAATGACTCCTCCGCAGTCTTAGATCTGGACCAACTTGATAAGATAGAAGCTGGGCTAAGAATGTGCAGCATTCCTTCTATTAGTCTTGGCCAATATCAAGTTGATAACTGGAGCACTGTCAGGTGTTTCACCAACAGATGGGGATAAGTATTGACAGATCAGAATCCCAGATGGAGATATCTTGGAATTCCTCAGTCAAGGGTACTCACACCACAAGGCATGGTCCAATAGATACACGTAGTTATATTTAGATCATAAGTGCAATAGGTCACCACAATAGAGCAGCACCATTAGAAGGTATTTGGTGCAGCACCTCGCTGTATGTGTGCTCAAAGGTAAGGTTCCCACATGGCTCAATCTGTAGGTCCATACCCAGTGTTAGGGGTCCTGGATCTAAATAATGCTATATTAGGGTTCCTAGTACACATATGTATTATAATAGTAAGTAGGATAGATGGTATATCGGGGTACTTCCCTGCTTGTATATATATTGCTACCAACTGAGAGTAGATCCCCAGTTCTATCATACTTCCCCACCTGGGGCTCACTCTTTCTCTGAGTCCTGGAGGGACTGGCTAGTGATCCAGGTCAATGACCATCTGACATGGGACTTCAGGCCACCCAACTAAGGGCCTGCTTGTAGTTAACTCGTGAGAGTCATTATCCTGCCACCACCCTCTCAGTCGACATATCATGTTTGACCTCCCTGAGTTGGTTCTGGATGTTAGAGGTAATTCATGTCTAGTCAGGATCACATTGATGCTGACACATTAGCTTGTGTTCAGAGGATATTCCTGAGTGATTCGTGACAATAATGCATTGGTACAATGTTCCATTTGACCTTGCACTATGGTACTTGTTCCTTCGACATGCATTCCATTACAAGGTAAGCATGATGAACATGTTGAATAATTCTGAATATGCTCACTTTCATGAAGATGCTGGATGAACTGCTTATGGGAAATCAAGCTGAGATACAAATAAGGCATGAAATGTTAGACCAGCCAATGTAAGAATACGAATAACAGATGGTACTTGATGCTGATGTCCAATCTGCATAGCTTCATGGAGATGGATCCTGGCAGCAGATGTGAAGTTTCTGACAGCATGCAGTCACACAGTGCAGCAGCCATATCACAGCAGTTGGGCAACTTGTGTGAAAATGCTCATCTACCTCGAGCAGGAGCATATGCTTTCCATCATGAGGTCAGCAATGATGTATGTGTGCTACATTAGCATATATGCATGATACTCATATTTTTACATTAGTTTGGACTGAAGATGGGCTATGAGTTTTCTGCGAACCTCCTAGGGCATGATGCAAGCCAGAATTCAACCTTGCACAAGCACTATTCAAGAGGTTCTGAATATGTTCCTGTTGTGGCAATTCGACTGGGTGAGTTGGAGATGTTGAACAGTGAGGTGGCTAAGGTATGTAATCAGAAATGAAAGTAAGGTGATGATAGGATATCTAAATCATATGTGGCAGGCAACTGAGAAGCAACACTGCTTTGTGACTGCTGCTGTTAAATGTCTGGTTGCATGCCAAATTCTCCACAACAGTGAAAAGCAAGAAGGCGAGCAGAAGACTTCTCTTGGAGGTACAAGATTGAAGTTGAATAGGGAAGAACGAGAAGAGATTATGGTACGCAACAGCACAAGGATGTATGCGTGCTCATTAACTGACAATTATATAATCAGCACGATGAGATGCTGGTGGAGCATGCGAAAGAGGTTGCTGATGCATGGGAAAAGATCTACAGTATACACGATGAAAGGGCTCACACATACAAGACTCGTATGACATGCGACAAGCGACGTGTGAAGTGCATTGTGGCAGACATTCCTCTATGTCCTGGCATTACTATTGAGCAGCAAATAGAGGTGTGTACACATCATATTGAATAGTCAAATTAATTGACATAGCAAATCAGATGGCAAAGGCATTTCTTGCTACCCTGAAGGAGTATCAAGACATCAAAAAAATGAAGATGAGAAAGTTTGAGCATGAAAAGAACTGAACCGCTGTTGTCGATGCTTTGGTAAAGGAGTCCAAACAGGACACTGTGCAGGCCCGCAACAAAGCAATAGCCATCTTGTAGAAGCCCTCGCACATGCTTGTAAATGCAAGGACCTATGCTGCAGACAAGTCATGTATGTGTTCACAGCAATTACGTCATGTTGGCTGAAATTAAAGTGATGTTGAATCAGAAACAGAGAGCCATATTGCACTGATGACCCACAGTGCCAACTTGCATGCAGCACCATCTGCAGAGGATGAAGGGGACAATGTGGAGAAGGAGGTCAACTTCTTATCATCAGAAGAAGACAATACAGAAGATTCAGATTCACACAGAGAGACACAAGAGGATGGAAGCACGACAATTGTGTTAAGCAATGCTGATGATGATGATGACAGCAATGTGATCATACTGAAAGATATAGAGTCACTGAAGCTTTCATTGCACTTTGCTGCTGGCCATATGTCAGGGAAGGAACAGCAGGTGATGGTGGAACGTACTCAGGGAGGGCGTGATTCCTCACACACTGATGTGGATGAAGGATGGGTGTTTAAAGTGCCAAAGAATGTGAGGCTCACAGATCGTCCATTTGATGAGGCTGAACATCCAAGTAATGAAAAAGGAGAAGTTAACGTTGATCTTCTTTGTGCCAAGTTTGCACACTATATCGTTGATCCTGAGCTAGAACTGCGACAAATGCAAGAATACTGAAATGTAAGTTGTTCATACTTGAGATTCATCCAACCACTTTTACTGATCACAATATAGAAGTTGCAGAAATGTATCAAGTGTCAAGAGTGGATGCACACACCTGATTAAATGGAGAAATAGTGGAAGCTTTATTCAAATCTCTCACGTCATATGTGAGCATCTGTGCTATTAGTTGGGACCAGTTTGATCAATTTTACATGAATGAAACAGCCAGGAACTGCATATTGAATGGCTTGAGCTGAAGCTATGCATGGTGATGCCAGATAAACCACAAGTGTATCGCTATTCTTCAACTGCATGTAATAGAATGTAAGCTCAGCCTAGATTTCTGAAGATAAAAGTACAACCTTAATCAATGATTGAATGACAAAGCGAGCAGCGTTAAGGTCATCCAGAATCACTGTTTGCAAGAAATTTGTCCTGATCACCTGCGCTTCTGTGCATTGAAGAATCAGCATAACTGTGCTTGAGAGAAAAGAAAAAATGCTCATCAGGAATATAGTGCAAAGTGCAAGTGAATGGCAGCAGGAAGTGGTAAGCAGACCTCATTCCGTGATTGCACATTCTTATACCCTGCAATAGACGATATTGATGAAGAGGAGGAATCTCATCTGGCTACAAATGTGCTGCAGTCATCGTCAACAAAGCAACGACAAGTACAAAATAACAATAACGATTACATATCTGCTAGCTCAGATGTGCTTGGCATGTATGATGCAATCTTGGGCCTTGACAATGCAGGAGCATTCGTTGAGCAAGTTAAACATGTAAGTTGTAAAATGTCCTCAGTTGCGTAATGCCACTTATCATGTTGTGCAAAGTGGTTTGAATGCACTGGTTGATGATGCCTCTTTCCTTCAAGGCATGCAAATTATTATGAAGCTAATGGATGCATTGATGAATGAGGGTGAAATTCGTGGCAAGGAATAGAGGTCATTTGGGCCAGAGCAATATCGTCAGTATGATTCGTGAAAAAATGTTATTACAAACTGTATGCAGCCATCATGAAGATATCAAATTTGATGCATTATAACGTGTGCCATGCTCTGTTAGACACTTGAGAAGACACACACGTTGATATGCTTGTATGCCACCTCCCTATGGTCCGTGGTCAGGCAGTACCATTGGCTTCGTTGCGGAGTGAGGTGAGTATCAGCCACTCTGCTCTGTCTCTGATGGGCATGATGGTACAGGGAGATGACTCTCTCTTGAAGGGTGCGAGGCCTGCAGGTTTCTTGCGACTGGCTCAGGGGACATATTGATGGTGTGTGGTTCATGGTGATGCAGTAACGGAAGTACCGTTAAATGGATGCGACTGATAGGTGCATTACAGAAGGTTCTGTTCAGTTGACTGACCTGATGGCTAGACTGACAACGTGTTTGCTCTGTCCATGTGTGTGGTACTGTTTTGGGGAATGGGTGTCCCATGTTAGGTCAGCTGAGTGCTTTGAATTGATCGCAGGTGGTGTATGGTGCTAACAAATTGTTCGCAGATGCTGTCTTTGGGCACTTAACTTGTGCTCATGGGAAGAGATGCCCTAACTCGGTAGTCTTCGTCCTATGCTTGAAACTTTTGTGGCATTCATCCACTTCGTATGTCCATGAGACTCGTTCTTTTCTGCAAAGCACTGCTGAAATTTCTCTTGCTTTCTATAGATGCCTTGTTAACTGACGAGACAGATTGAGATGACTGTACTGAGTTTAAGTGATTGCTTATATCCCTAGACTTATGGTACGGAGGCCTCACAATCATGTTCTTTGTAAATACAGAGTTCGTTGATGGTCAGCAGGTAGTAATGCTTAGTATAGCATTCTGATGAGATCAGGATTGAAATGTGTAGAGTAGAGTAGATAGACTGGGATGAGAACGAGAGAGTCCCCTCTCTCCTGATTGTCCCTTATCGCACATTGCAGCCAGGTTTATATACTACGACAGATTGTTCATTGCCGAACAGCCCATTACTATGGTAACTGTTTAAAATGTCTTCTGAATGCCAAGCGTAAGTTCAAAACACGTTTCAGGAACCCGAAACATGTCAGAAGGAAATGCTCCACTTCTGTGCCTAATTGCCTTCCCCATGCTTGCTGTTTTGTTCTGTCGGCCGCTGCATTCATTCGTCTCTTATCCTTCTACTTCATCTAGGCCCAAGGTCCTACCTGGTTATTGACTGAGCTCGTTGGCCTCAGACATGTCTTCTGGGCTTCCCATATGGTGATATGCTCAACCATGTCCTGGCCGTGAGCAGCGCTTCTAACCAAACCCCTACTGGTGGAAGGTGAACTGGGGCTCTGTCCGTCTGTGGTGCCTTTGGGCTATGGTCACAGGAAACTTCAGATGATAATGCAGTGACAGGCGGCCACGAGTCGTTCAGCTGTGTTGCTTGACATGGAGTCACATTGGTCAACGGTTCTGGATCGGTGAGTGTCGGACTTGACTGTATGGATGCCTCCAACCGGGAAACAGTCGAAAGCTGGAATGCGGGGGTGTGTGGGTGTAGAATGTGACTGGCAACTTCTGTACTCATGAACTGTGGTGGCTGAAGGTCTGGACTGTGGCACGAGGACCTGCTATATCTGGAAAGTGCTGGTCAAGCACCGATGATGAAGCCCTAATAGCCTCCGAACTGGGTGAAGCGCCGACGAGCAACCCCTAACTGCCTCTGAACTGGGTGAAGCATCGACGATGAAGCTCTAAGTGCTTCTGACTGGAACGAGCACCGACGATGAACTGCTGGGCACTAGCGAGGCTACGGGATCTGATGAGGATGGAATCCTGGGTTGAGACTCGTGACTGGTGGCATGCGAGCAAAATGTGATGGTGTGAGATACGAGAATGCAATAATGTGGCTTATCTGGCTGAAACCCGAGTTGAGCTAGAGGCCACTGCTGAGAGTGCTGCCTATCTCAGTGTCGAGAATTCCAGAGATGTAGAACATGATCGCAATAGACATAGACGTAGTCGGGCACGATGCTCTAGCGTAGACAAGATGAGAACTGAGCACTGCTGCATGGGGAACTCCGTCAAAAACTCTCTTGTTATTCCTATGTACAGTGTAGATTATATAGTGGATCGGAAATGAGCCAGCTAAGTCGCTGAAATGTGTTTCTGATCATACATTATGTTTTCGATCCATTGAAACCTGTCGCAAAGCTTGTCCCTGCCCCCTCTCCGTATCATACAGTTGGGGAACTAGAAGTCCGGCCCTGTCAGGGTCCATCAGTCCACTACCCTATCATTCATTTGGTTAGTGCACTTGTTCATTTCTAAGTTGCCTAACTGGTCACGTTCTTGTGCTGCATCTTGTAATCGGCTATGCTTCCTCGTGGCTCGCTCGTCCTTTCCATGCCTCATGTTCACCTTCTGACCCCTTCATGTGGTTCCATGTTCCCAGGCTGTCAGTAAAGTCTTCTTTGCCCACTCTGGACTGCTCCAGCTCAGTGTTTGTCTTTCCAGATCGTGGCGACTCACTATTCGATTGTGCGGCAGTCGGACGCAGTTTCTGGCATTTTCCAATCGCAGAATATCTTGGTGCATATCACCTCCCCTATTCTGAGATCTGGACTGTCCTCAGTCTGTCAGGCTTGTGTACTTTAGATAGCACAACCTCGCTGTCAGTTCCCAGTCTTTCGCCACTATGTCCCACACCGACGGTGTCTTCAGCCTTGCAGCTTGCACTCGCAGTGTCTACCCCATTGACAGTGCTTGCATTTTGCTACTGCAGCACCTCGATAATCTCGTGTTTGCATCGCCCACTCCTGATGCTCATGCATTGGTCTGACAGGGCTGGGCCACATCATTTTCTGCTTACGAGGTGAGTATTTCATGTTGCAATCTGCATTCTGATGGTTAACGCTGTAGCCTTCCAGTTACACATGACCTATGACTATCCAGACCATGCCGAGAGTTTGCTGCATGAGGTCAATTCAGTGTATGACTGGCTCATGCTGAATGCGAGCCCCGACTTTGATTGGATCCCAGCCATGGTTCCTTCCACCCTGAGATGTTATTTCGAGGCTGTCGGCACCGCTGACCCGATTCGTTCATCTGCTGTGATGACTGAGATCATGCGGGAGATCATCGAGGCTGCAGACCATGTCAATTTTGACAAGTTCCCTGAAGGTTGCGACCTTGCTTGTGATCGCTTTCTAATGGCGTTCACGGCAAATGACGTTTTCGTGGATCGGTGTGACCGTACATTCCTTGGGCAGACCATCCCGATTGGCTGCTGGTGGATAGACTATGATAGCTGACACGTTCCTTCTTCTTCCACTGTGTCTTGTGCTATGGTGGAGATTCTTCAGGACATGGTCAAGTGCGAACCTGAAGTTGCTGCAGTGACTCCGTGAGTTCAGTCGCATTTGGCGTCCGTTGTGAGTGTGGTGTCATCTGCGGTCACCACCAAGTCTTCCGAGTCAGATATGCTGTGCGAGTACTATGCTGCCATCCATGCCCTCCCAAAGCACATGCAAATCATGTTCTTGAGCTTTGGAAAGCCGTGGCTGCATACCAAGGTACGTTCATTCGCTTTTCACCGCCTGCACATCACTTATGTTTCTGCCACCAGTGCTCTAAGTGCTTGATGGATGGCGATTGCATGATTATGTCTTCCGAGCACAGTGGGCAGGCTTGCATTCACTGCTGAGTGTCGCATCTCAAGTGCTCATTTGTCCAATCTCCCTCCAGTATGCCTTCTTTTTCTTGATCGAAAATGCTGCCGTCCTGACTCCACTCCTTTTGCACTCGCAGGCGCCAAATCACTTGTTGATACTGAGTGAATTTTTGATGAGGTTCATGGACTGGATGTTCCCAGCACTTTGCTTGTCGAGATCTTTATGCAGGAGTGCACGCGACTGGTAGTGGAGGCGACTCGCATTAGCGAGCATCTCCAGTTCTTGAAATCCTTTCTGGCTGCGAATGAGAAAGCCACGTAGTCTAGACCCATCTCGATTTGTCCTTCGTGTACTCCGCTTGCTCGTGTACAATAGTCTGACTGCATTCGTTTCTGACGCTGTACTGTGAATCCATTGTTTTGGGTGGCTTCGATCGGAGTTGGCTCGTGGTACAGTCCCGCAACAGAAGTCCTGCCTGAGTCACTCGAACTGGCTTCTTGAGAAAGCTGACTGGCTCTACCACGTGGTAGAGGATGATACCATGAGGTTTTAATGACGCGTTCACGTGTCCGAGCTTGGTCAGTTCAATTTTTCTGCAATGGCACCTAACTCATCTCCCCCTCTACCTCGATCTCTCAGCTCCTTGATGGGCGATCCCGCTACCCCATCATCCTCTCAACGTCCTGCAACTCCAGTCACTTCTCCATGCAAGGTATGCTTGTCTTTTCAGACCCTTTGGCTTTTCGCAGTGCTAATTTCTCTCCTTGACACCTAGGCGACGGACGCAAAGAACGCCATCATGGGGGTCGTGTATTCTGCTTGGGAGGTGTTGCGTGAGGCAGAGCCTCTTGATCCAGCCATGGATTTTGAATTCCTTATACGCAAGTTCCTTTCTGCTCTGGTAAGTGAATGCTCCATCACACTCATTGCTGGCTAACTCACTCCCTCCGCTAGCATAATCTTCACGCTTTCTCGGACTCAGTGTCGCAAATGCACTATGCCCGGTTTTGCCAAAAGGCCCAAGCACATCTTGACTCCTTTGTCCAATCATCATGGCTGTCGTGGTGTGAGGAATTGATCTCACCTGAGTGGGCTGCTGCCTTCTCGGCAATCAAGGTACATGGGTCAGACTGTGGTCCCGTCTCTGCCATCTAATGCGACCCTTTGACTCTCTCTAGGAACTGAGCCCTCCTCCAGTGACTGAAGCTTCTATGCATACTGCTTCCGATACTGGCGAGGTCGTGGCCTCCGGCTCTCTGACCGCTTTCACCAGTGCTGATGACTCCCTTCCAGCTGCCTTTCTGGCACCTTCCTCCATGGTAGCTGCTTCTGTTGTGGCTGTGGCTGCTCAAGGTGTTCCCATTCCAAAGTTCGAGTTCCAGGCTCGTGTGACCAACCCAGTCACTATCGACCCTCCTTCTGACTCCGATACTGCAGCCATGGAGGTCGAAATTCTGCTTGCTACCATGGTCACCCAACCCCCTTCTGTGCCAGTCTCTGAGACCATCGAGCTCTCCAGCAATGATGAGGATGACAGCGACAGTGATGAGGTCGAGTTCATTGGTGGCACGATCCCCAACTTGTCTCCAGTGCATCCGAAGAAGGGCAAGGGTCACGGTCGCAAGTTCTTCAAAGCTTCCAGAATGACTACAACCTCAGAGGACCAGTATGTGCACATGCCTGTGTGCACCTTTCACAATCACTTCCTCCCCCCAGAGTATCTCCCAGCTTGGCAGAAGCTGTCTATCGCTTGCTTGGTAAGTGCTTGCCTTTCTCACCCTTTTCCATCACTAACTCCTTTTTCCAGTATCACTATTGCCTTCTTTCCAACAAGGTGTCTCGTACTTGCACGCTAAGCGAGTTCTGTCCTAAATGCAGCAAATGTCACCATGACCACAAGGCTTGCAAGTGGTGAATGCACAATACGGTTCCTGACATTGACGATGCCGACGGATGGCTTTCGCTAAAGATGCTGTACCATCAGAAGGACTGGCCCCTGCCCAAGATGCTGGATGCTTCCATGATTGCGAAGGCTTCCAGTCACCAGGGTGACTACGATGAGCAGATGCATGATGCGAACACTGCTGGCAGTGATTACACTGTGGAGCTCGAGCTTCCGCTGGACACATCAATTGATGAATATGAGACTGTGATTGCTCTGGCCCCACGCCTTCATAGGCCTCCCTCCTTTCTCGTTTTGTTCCTGGCTAACTGACCTCCCTCCAGGTCTGACCCATATCTTACCCAACATGCCCGAGCCCAATGTTGAGTCTGACGCTGAAGGTGCATCCGAGGTTGTGACCGTCAAGCAAAAGAAGGGCACTGCTGGGCCTTCTCGTCGTAAGCTGGTGATTCCTTCACTGCCACATGGTATGTTCCTTTCTGCATCATTACTTCCTTGCTAATGGTTTCTTTAGGTCATTTTAACAGGCCTTCCAAGCATCCTCGCTTCGATGACTCTGACCTGGATGACATCATGATGCAGCACTTCCATGCTGGCACCATCGTTGTCCCATCGACCAAGGTCCTCAAGCCGCACTCGTCGAAAGGCAAAGCTCGTGCAAAGGGCTCCTCCAAGAATGTGGCCGTGAAGTTAGAACTGACTTGTGCTTCGCCAGCCACCATCGAGCCTTCTGCAGCCAGTACGCAACTCGAGCAGATGATTGAGCTCTCGCAGCAGCCTCCTTGCAAAGAATTGCACCTTGAGGGCTCGCAAGTCATGATATCGTTGGTGCGCTGGGCTTGGGCTGGGGTGATGCAAAGCAGGCTGTCCACATAGTCTTTCATATCTCTGTTGTGATCTCTCCTCCTCCGCACATGTGGAGCAAATGTATTAGTTAGCCTGCTTGAATAAACCGTGTGTCGAAAAACCTTGCGCGAGTTTTCCTGAGTGAATCATTAAGCGAGATGTCGCAAAATATGAGTCTTGTCCAAGTTTTTGAGTCTCCTGAGTCCATAGCTGAGTCCTTGCCTATATACAATTGAATAATTAGTTCGAATCCCTATGCTTGTTTATTCCAACTCATTTGCATCGTACTGGTCTTGCTGTCCTTCGTCTTCATTTCCTGACTCCTCATCTTCTGGTCTTTCATCCAGTTCCTTTTCTCCTTGGTTGTCCGACTGGAGCATCTCCTTCAATCTGGTTTCCGATGTGTCCAACATTTCTTCTGCGATCGCGATCTTCTTTCTTGCTGCGAATGGTATCACCCTAAATGCTGCAATCGGCCGATCCAATACTGCTCCATCCAACTCGCAGAGCACGTATGCTCCTCCCCGATTGTGAAACATCACAATATAGAGCCCAATATAGTGCAGTCTCATTTTCCGATTGAGTGCTTTCTCGATCTGCATATGCCGAACCAAGACTAGGTCTCCGTGCTCAAAATCTGTCACGGTTTTACCTGACAAGTCATTATAGGAACAAATGCTATTAAGGAGCATATTATTTTTCACCATTTCTCGTCGCACAAGAAGTCACGTGACCTAATGAGATAAGATAACGAGGC